GGAGATTTCTTTGAACGTGCCACTTCAGAAGTCACCTATTTCTGCTGCTCCACCTGTCCATTCACTCGGCTTCTAGAGGCAGTCAAATGCTGCCACCAAACCTCCCTGAGCCTCGGCAGCTGCTGTACAGCCCACTCCTGATCACATCACTGCTGTGCCCAGCACTTCCACACCAAAACAAAGATATTTCAGCCACAGTTTGTCCACTCTGAATCAAGAACCAGAGCAAAGGACTAGTGCCTCACCTCCACACTGCTCAAAACACACAGCTGGCTGCCTGGGAGGCTTTGAAGCCATCAGCAACTTGTGCAGGGAGGGTGCAGCAACAAAGCTCTACTAACCCCAGGCTGTTCCCTGTGCAGTATTTCCAGCACACTGTCTGTTCTGGCAGGGACAATTTAACCACTTCCATTTAGTTCAAGTGTCTGCTTAAAGAAAAAAAAATCCATAGTAATTTATAGGGGAGTGCCCCATGTCCTATTACAAATATCCTCCAATTTCCCCCCAGCTCAAAACACCCAGAGAATGGTGAATTGATAGAAAAAAAAAAGGGTCTTTAAAACATTTTCCAGAGTCTTCCCACATCCAAGGCTTCAGAGGCTCTTAGTATTTGAAGTATTAATGGAAATGTTCCATACAATTCCCTGTGCACAGATCTAAAAATAGCTATGGACACAGTAGTAAGTTTTTGTCTATATTTGCAAGACTCTTACTTCCCTCTCAGGAACCACGACTTCCCATTAACGTTGACATTTATTATTTTTAAAAAGGGAACCATTAAAACACCAGAAATTCTTTCAACAATTCAGTGACCACCAGTAATAATAATACATCAAGAGCAACCATTAAATATCAATTGATACTCTGGTGATGGATCACAAACACATTCTGAATACTAAGAATGTCAATTTTTCTTTAAGAATTGCTGAAGCTAGTTGATGGCCTTTGCAGATCTGCTCATCGTTAGCTTAAGCTCTCCAGCAGAGCAAGCACACAAAATACATCTGTTCTGACTGGGACAAAAATACCCTTTTTTTTGTGTGTGCCAAGCCCTGTTTGTCCCATCTTTACCCACAATGACATCAAGCATGCCAAGCCTGCAAGAAGTCAAAAAAGTATCTAACCTTGCTTCAGATTTTTTGTTCTGCACACATTAAAACTGAAGTGAATGAATCTCACATTCTCCCACTAAAGACCTGAGAGGATGAAAAAAAACCCACAAAAAACAAAACACCCAACAAAAGAGAAACCACCTGACCAAAGCAATTCCTACCCTGGCCTTGGTGTCAATGGTTTGCGACTATGAGTGAAAAAAGACTGCACCTGAACTCCTAAATACTTGTCACTGGGCTCAAACTGAAGGCACTTCCACCTCCCAGCTGAATCCTACTGGAAATCCCAAGGCCCTTTCTCCAGAAACCATTCCAAGTGGGATTTGTCTCCCCCTGGTGGCACTGGAGGATTTACAGCCAGTGGCCCAAACTACCACAGGCAAAGAACAAACGTTACGAGATGTCTGGAGACACGTGGTCAGTGTATTCCCCTCTAACATACAGACAGAAAATGGGGTGGGATAATGAGGGGAAAGGAGAAGGGGGAAGAATCACATCCTGATTACAAAGGAATTCCTATTCTAGTGGTTAAAAAATGAGGACAGGGACGTGACAATGTAACCAAACATACAATGAGGCTTTTGTCCCCAAACCACTTTGGCTTGTGTACAAGGAACAGAGGAACTTGGGTCGGTGGGGACTGGCTGGGGCAGGGGAAAAGGGAGAGGTTGATGTTTGTGAAAAGAAAGAGAAATTGGTTAGTCTGCTTTAAGAAAGGCTGTAAAGAAAAAAAAAAAACAACCAAAAGAAGCAGCCTGCTATTGTAGAATCCACCCACTCACTTCTGAAATGCTCAAAGACCCAGACAGGGATTTACAACCAGCACTTCTAGGCACTGAGTGTGAAGCAGAAAACACTCAAATGCCCAGAGGCAGCTTGTGTGGTGCCAGAGAAGAGGCTTTTAGATTGCACAGGGTTATGGTCAGAGCCGTTTTCTTTCAACAAGTTTGTTACTGCTGAGTCAGTCACTGAGCTTGGCAGTACAGACCAGAGGAAGGCACCTGCACACGGCAATTTTCGGCTCTAGTTAACCAACTATCATGCTTTACTTTTTAACAGTCACACAACTTCCTGGAGAAATAAGAGAATTCAAAACCAGGCCAATAACCTTACAGTTTAGAAGCCAAAATAATAACAATAATAACAATAACAATAATAATAAATAATAAAAAAGAGCTGGTGTTCAGTTGACTGCAACACCAGTGTGAAGGAAATGCAAGTGCTGAGTGAGGTTGTTTTTTCAAACAGTGTCAAGACACATTCAGAAAGATCACAGTAAAGTAAAGCTTAAAAATTTTGGTGATGATTTAAAAACTATTTTTAAAGATAATAAATTCAGTTAAACCAAGCATATTCCATTTAATACCTTGCTTATACTATGGAAGAAAGAGAGTGCTGATGCAGAGGTTTTCTTCAGCCTGAGTTAAAATCAGTTCAGAAAAGATTTATTTTCTCAGAGTCCACTATATCTGGCTTCTATTTATTTACACGAGTCTATATCCAGCAAGGGTTTAAACTAAATGAAGGTATGGGTTTATACATATCATATGCAATTACAAATAAGGCATCTCCTTAAACCACCTCTTTCTTAAAAAAGTTATGCAGCTTTAAACTAACTTTCTTTTTAAAGGAATTGGACTGTTGCTGATTCCCATGTATTCAGGGAATCAGACTCCTGCTGAAGCCAGTAGCAGGGCATGGAAACTTGTTCAAGTGGTTAATTTGTTTAGTGATCAATCCAGAAGCAGCATTTGTATCCTTGAGACCAATCTACTACATTTAAAAAGCTTTTATGCAGCAAGTGCCTTTTTTTTTTTTTTTTTTTTTTTTTTTTTTTTTTTTTTTTTTAGTTACAGCTGAGTTACTTTCTAATCCCCTGGTATTACCGCCTGCACAATAAAATAACAGCACCCAGGATTTTAAGTGGTCAGTGCCACAGTTGCTGACACTGGGACTGAGTTACACACTATTCCTGGACTATCCACAAGGGAACAGGGCTGGGGCCTGTAGCAGTTCCAGCTGCCCCAGTAACATCACACAGGTTATGTGAATGCCATCCAAAAAGATGCACCACAGAACTAAACCATGATGCTGAAGACGACAGACTATTAAATGTTCACTTCCATGTCTGCTTGATTTTTGTGGGGCTTTTTAAATTTTTTTTTTGCGTTTCCTGTTTAACCCTCAAAGCCAGAGAATGCAGAGGTAGAGGCCTTCCAGTCTTGGAACACTATTTATCCAACAATCTGGGCTCCTTTTCCAGTTTGATGCAGTTTTATTGCAGGAATGAACCTCCCACATGATCCTAATCTGAATCTCCCTCTACAAACAAAATCCATGCTTGATCGCAGCATTTCCCAGGGAAATGAAAAAAGAACAAACAACAATCTTAGCAGGCTGCTGATGCAACTATTGCTTACTATACTGTATTCTCATGGCAGTTATATCATGATAATTTCAAACTCCCTGTGGCACGAACCATCCTTTTATTCCACATTTGAACAGTGCTTAGAACAGCAAAGTCTGTGTCTACAGATGCAAGGAATAATGGAACAATTAATCCATCCTCTCTCCCCCCCCGCACATCCTTCCCTCCCCACCCCCCCCGTGCTGTAACATGGAAATTGTTTCATTTTTAGCCTAAGGAAGTGAGGTTTATACAATCATCCTGTGACAGCTTTACCTCAGCATTTCATTTATTCTGGAGCCATTTGGCAGTCACACGATGCTTCAGAGACAGATTTCAAAGACGTGCAACAAGACTCAAGCAGGCACCTTATTAGTGGAGACAGATGAGCCCCTCAGGGCTGCAGCACGAGTTTAACTGCAGTATTAGACACCTGAGAGCCCACACAGAGAAGCAGCGTGAGGAGACAATCAGAATTACACCAGTGAGTTTCTCTAGTTCTCCTTTACCTATATTTGTAAAAGAATCTAAGGGAAACTGTGCAAAGCCACGTTTATATCCCTTAGCACAACATATGCAGACGTGAAAAATTTCACCTTGAACTGTTTGGGGGTTTTTTTTCCCCAAAAACCCTGAATATATTTGGGGACAGAACATCCCAAGAAATGAATTCTACCTGCAGACTGAAGCTTAAATAATATGCTAAAATCAGAAAAATACATTTATTAGAAGAATTAGGAAACAATCCCATATAATTTTCCAAGAACTAGTAACCAGTAACTAGCAGCTTGTTTCACTGAACAGGGGAAAAAAAGAGAAAGAAAAAAAATATCTCCATCTTGTACACGGGAAGAAAAAAGGAGAAGATTATGAACAGCTGTCAGAAACATATTCCATACCAGAAGTGCAGCTATTTTGGCACAGGAGCATGAAAACCTCACAAGAAAGCAGGGAAGACAGCACATTTTTATGCTCACTGTCATCTCTCAGCTGCTTATCCAAGTTTCACTTGCAGACGTCAGGATGAAAAGAAGCAGCCAAAAGAGCAGCAGTGGGATGGGTGCTGCATTCACTTCAAAAGAGCTGCATGCAGGAGGAGTTTCCAGTATCAATACACTGCAGGCTGGCAGGGCTGGAAAGTTACAAATTAAGTGTGCCTTCATCAGGGACCTGCCATGCACAGACCTACTGAGCTGCTAAAATATTTTTAGTTCACCCAATTCCTGCCTTTTTTGGTTCCTCCTGCTCTTCCAGTTTATCCAGTCATGTGCACTTTTCCACTCCCTCTTACTGCCATGCAGTTTTTCGAGTTTGGCTCCAGTTACCACTTGTTTCTGCTGCTGAAACGCTCAGATTCACAGCACGGCGGCAAACAGCTCGGGGGGTGGCTGAACGGTGCACACAGCGAGCAGCCTGTCAGCTGAGCAGGGATTTGTCCAGCAGGGAACTCTCCCTGCCCCTGGGGAGATGGATGTACTCACCAGCTGGTACTCGCTCCGCCGGCTGAAGGCTTCCTTGATTCCCGAATCCCTCCAGAGCGCGCCCAGGGCAGGGACGTAGAGCTGGAAGGTGGCAGGCTCGATGGGCATTCCAGCTTTGTTTTCGAAGGCCATCAGGAACATTCCATGCTTCTCATTCTCTGTGTATTGCCAAGGGATCCCCAGCTTGTCCCGGGCATCCACCAGTACCCTGCAGCCCTAAAGGATGATTCAGACAAGAAAGTGTCAGTGATCAAAAGATTAAAGTGCAAAAGAACAAGGACTTGAAGGTACTGGAAGATTATTTTTTTGACACTGTTCTGGTGAGACTGAACTCGGGAGAGAATCACGTTGTTTATTGCAACATCTCCAACAGAAATAAGATAGAGCTTGCTTCTGTAAGCAACTTAGCCACAAAATATTTCTCCAGGTGGAAGAAGTATTAGCAGCAACAGCTAATGGCAACAAGCAATGCTGCCAACATACAATGAAAGTAAACATCAAATGAGCAAGAGAAGTGTCTGGGAACTGACGTGTCGTTTTATAAGTAACATCATGCCTGAAACCATGTGCTTCCACCTTTTTTTTTTTTTTTTTAATTTACATTGGGGTTTTTTGGTTTCTCAAACATTAGGAGGTCAGAAAAGCACTAGAGAACTCAAGACACTGCATAGATTTCAAGCTCCCATGCTCAGAAAAGCAGGTGCAGTTTTCCCTCAGAATCAGCTTTCTTCTTGAACTTGCCATACACTTGCTAAGCAATGTGTGACAGGTAGGCTCTGGTACTCTAACTCTGGAAAAGAGATCTGGAAGCAAAGTGATCTAGTTCTCATACTTAACTCAGGATTACTGAGCTGCTCATTTTAACATTTTGCAGTTTTTATGGAAACTTAATTTCATATTCATGGCAGCAAGCCAAACACACAAGGTTAAGTAAATCTGAAACTTTCAGTCTTGACTCTGACTTCACCTGTACTAAAAAGCTTCAGATGGCCAGTAGTTATTTCTCAATTGTGAGCACCATTTTAATAATGGACAGATCTGTAAATGGTGGCTTAGCATCTCAAGTGCCATCAAATTCACAAGTAAAATCTGTGGGTTATAGTGAACTACTTTTCTCATTGAGTTGATCTTGGTTTTATAGATAGGAAAATAAAATAAAAAACCTCCAAAATTGAAGCTCTGTTTCCACAGCCATTTACATGAACCTCCACATTACTGCACTGATATTTTTTTTGCATACTTTAAGCTGTCAAGACTGCACCTATGTTTTCTTCACAGTCATACCTTTCTGCTCTCCAGTCCTTTAACAGCACTACACAACAACAACTTTTCCAACAGAAACTAAGATTGGAGAGGGAAGTGAGAAACAACTTAGTGGGGTGTCACAAAATAGGAACTCAAAGCAAAGTGTCACAGTTGTCACTATGCAACAGTGTTCCTGAAGTGCAGCTTCCCAAAAATGTAAACATTTATGCTTCTCTAGTGATTGTTATTTTCTGTCATAAAGTAGAGAATATATCTCCACAATACCAGGAAAAGACAAAAATTGAATGTATTTACAAACTGCTGCTTTAAATTCCAGACATAACTATTTAGTAACTCTGTCATACAGACCAAAAGCCAACTCTCATTCCTAGTTACAGAGTTTATCCCTTTAGTCACACAAGTCTTTGGATCATTATTGGAACGGCACTAACAAACATCAGCATGAAAACCCCACTTATAAGGCTCTGTCTCTGAACTGCAGATGCCTCCTTGACATGTCACAGCTTCAGACACTTCTGCAAACCATCCCCTGCTCACAGAACACCATCCTGGCTGCAACTGAAAGCCAGGGGCAGCTCCCTACTGTGCCCAGAACTTGGAGATTTTCCAAAGTGTTGTGGCAACTGAGACCAATATGACACAGCTATTTCTAGGTATTGAATGCCAGGTTTGTCTCTGCTCAGTGAGAAGTGAACAGATCACCATCTCTCCCCACGCTGCCTGGGCCCTGTGTGGAGCTCCCAGCCCACGCAGGCCAGCCCTGACCTTTCGCCTGCCTGGGCCCCAGCTCTGCAGCTCAGCTCCAGCTTTTCTGTCTCACAGCTTTGGGGCTGATTTAACCCTTATCCCTCTCACAGACCCTTCGGAGCGTCCCTAAGGAGTGATGGCAAAACTGCCCGATTCCTGGTCTGATTTCCCGACGTCACTCTGACTTTCCCTGCTCCCACTGGAGACACAGAGGCCCTTGAGAGACTGTTGTTAAGGAAAGTTTCATTATTTGTTTGGAGAAAACCACAGAAGAGTCTCAATCAAGGATGTAGAGACTGCTCCACTCCCAGAATAGTCACTTATCTGCTGGCTGCTGCTCCTTGGAAATGAAGGTTTGAACCTCCCTGAGGCAAGAGAGGGAACTAAACTTAGACCTCACCGACCCTCTGTGAGTGCACTAACTACTGCAGGGTCACCCATGGGGAGTGTGACTGTTCTAGAGACACAACACCCGTGCAGAGCCCAATCCGAGACAAAGAGGTAGATCCAGAGGCAGGGACATCAGCACTGACAGACCCATACAGGCACCCACTGAATGAAGGAAAAAATATAAATAGGATAGGGGTTAGCAGGAATGCTGTCCTATGCACACCCAGAGGAACAGCACCTCTCAAAATCTGAATTTTCAGAACAAAGCTGCTTCAAGATGTGTATCTCCAGTGCACCGGGAGTCAAAGCTTTACAGAACAACCAACCAACCGATGTTTCACCCTCCCAACTATGAGCAGTTAAAAGTGTAAGTGACTCAGCAAAATCCCCAGTAAAGTGAATCCAAACATTTCTCCATCACTGCAAAACAGCTCCATAAACGCTGCAAACAGATGTCAGAAAGATGAGGAGAAACAGAGAAATTGCTAAATTTAGAGCCCATGTACTGTTATTCTCGCATCTCTGAGTTACTGGTAACACTATATTTTGCAGCCTCACTGAGCAGTTGATAATCCTTGCCTCATTAATCTGCAGAACAAGTTATGAGAAGAAAGGTTTCTTTCTTACTGAAAGCCCATGCAAAACACTTCTCCTGCCTCTTTCCTCCAAAAAGACTATCATGGGATGCAGCCAGAGAGTCCCTTTCATCTGTTGTTAAAGCTGCTTAAAGGTTTGTATGCACTGTTGATGCCTAGAGGTGAAGATTTCATTTAGAAGATTAGATGTAATTAAAATATCTGGAATTTCCATTTATTATAGGATGAACAGAAAAGTTACATATATTTGTAAATTTTACCAAAACTGAACTTAGACTCAAACACTCTTGGTAAAAATAAGGAAAATAACCAACCACAAAACAAGTCTTGTTACATAGACAACCCTCCCTCCCAAGTTCTGACAACGAAGGTAACACCAGACTTAGTTCATTGCAGTGCTCGTTTCACAATAAATCTTCCCAACATTGCTGTTACAGTTTTTCTGATCTTCTGCTACTACAGAAAACATGAATTCACTCTTTCATTTAGAAGACTGAACACAGTCAATTGCCATTCTGTTTTCATATTTGGAATATAGAAAAAAAATGTAGGGGCAACTTTTGATGTGAAAGAAACTACTGAACAGTTCAACTGATCTAAAGCTTTTGTGTTGCAATCAAGGCAGGACCCAGAATAAGCTCAGATGCAAAGAATTAAAATTCACAGGTAAGGACAGTGTCAGGCATTAGAAATGGCAAGCAAGCAGCATAATGGAAGAACCAGCTATGGGGGAAAAAATAGGAAATTCTCCATTCCATTCCTTTCCTAATAATTTCTAATATATTCAAGTAACTGCACAAATCCCTGACATGCACAAAACTTGAAAGGAGACAGGGTAGAAAAGGTGTAACAAGAATGTGATGTGATCTAACTCATGAAGTATCATATCTCACACAGAAGAAAACACTAAATAAGTCTAGAAATCCACAGATTCTGAAAAAAGATAACCAAGGCATGATATACAAGAAATCTACAGAAATTACAAACCACCTGCAGAAAGGGAGTAGACACAGACTGTTCTTCTCTCTGCCCTTGTTACACAAGCACAAGTTACCAAACAGCAGGTTAAACTAAAAGAAGGGGTTTTCCTGTACACCCCCAGTGAGACAAACTCATTTACACAGGATGCTGGCCAAAAGCATAAATGGACTTAAAAAGCAACGAAGACAAATAGATGGAAGAAAAGCCCAAAGAGGACTATTCGATTACATTCCAGATGCAAATCCTGGCTCAAGAAGTTTCCGAACCCAAAGGCTGCCAATAAGTGGGAGAGCACACCAAAGGATCACATTGCCTCGTGCTCGTACCCGTTTTTGGTTGTGGGTTGTTTTTTCGTGTCACAGACAAAGCTGGAGCTGCTCTCCCTGACACAGCACAGCTGTTGGCCCTCAGTGTGTTTGCTGCTCACCAGCACTATGAAGGTTTTACGAGCATATCCACAAATGCTCTTTACTAGGACTGGCTCAAACGGATTTTTTTTCTCCTTTACTTTTGAAAGCAGCCTAGCTTTGAAAAAAATTTGGGTTGTCTTGTACTTTTAAATAATAATTAAATGATTTTGTGGGAGTAATTAGAAAGGTTATCACCAGCTAATGTCACCTGAAGCCAGCGATGTTTGCCAATACATGAAGCGTTGCAGTATTTAAAGAGCTGCATGATTTAAAGTTATCTTACATCAGTAATTACGGCCACACAAAACACAACATTCACGTTTTAAATTATTCACATACTCCAGTACTTGAAGGATTCATTTTCCTTAAAACCTCACACCTTTCACCAGATGGACCAACTCAGAGGCTGAGTGAACTCACCTCAGTTAAGCACCAAACACACTGTGGGAACAACAGGTTTGGGGGACACTCACTCATAGGCAAGGGCAGGTTCTTCCATGCCCACACCAACAACTAAGGGATCAAAAAATTTGATTGTTCAAGTCAAGTGTCTAGAGGGAACTTGCAAACCTCCTTAAGAGTTTGTACACAAATACAGGAGTCTCCTACAGTGCATTTTCTCGAAATAATTTTAAGGATCTACTATGGGGTATGAGATCACAGACAACAGAGTAACTGTTACACAGGACATACTACAGCAGCTTCTTTTGAAGCTTTTACCATTAATTCACTGTTCCATCTCCTACCAAAGCTCTGGATGGGCAGTATCCACATATCACCTATGGAAACATTGTCCTGAGAGAAGTGCTGGTCACTGCTGAATACT